GGTCCCAGAAATTCTGTGGCCATTCCTGACCCTAGGGTTGATTTTTTGTTGAAGTCCAGCCATTTTGAGAATCTCTATTCTATTAGCCAGATGGACAGTCTATTTCCAAAGGAAAGAGTAAAGAGGTTAGAAGGAAGAGATTATATTACCACTGTGTATTCTGTTCTTGGCCACTTTCCTCCTCCGTGAAAGGGGAAGAAAAGGACAGAAATATACTTTAATTATCATCGAGAAGCAAACACTGGTACAGTTGGCAAATGTTCATCTTTCATAGATTTGGTCTTGGCATCTATTTGTTTAAATAATCACTATTTTTAAAAGGTCTTTAGGAGGAGTTGCTGAGGTAAATTCCTACGCCAGCTTTCTGCTAGTTCGCACACACACTGTCTCTCAGCGTGCGTGCCCACGCGCCCACTCTGGAGGCGAGTTTGCCGCTGCGCAGGCGTCACAGTCAGGCCTTGAGTCGTTCGAGTTTTTCAAAGTTGAGAGGCTTTTATTCATTTATGCATCCATTGAATGCATTAATATGTTCAACAAACTATAAACAATGTATTCTTTATGCCTTTGGCTATAAAACTATAGTAGTAATACAGCGATATCCAGCTCTATGTATTTTACGAGGTAGTAATTTAAAGTTGCATAATCCTGTGAACCATTCTAGTAAATTGTGTAAGTTATTTCCCTTCCTGCTTTGGCTGAGTAAGTAAACTTGTTGTTACCTTGATAATATGAAATGGATTAGTTGCTTTCTTGCTACTAAGTATTGTTTGCTACCTTTGTTAATTTTTGCTCAATAATTTTACTTTTCAGGGGACTTTTAAGCTGTGCATGAAGGCCTATGGGAAACTCAATGTAAAAGTTTGTCCTCTTGAGGGGAATAGACATTCTCAAGGAAGACTTACCTTCTATGTTGTTGTCTTGTGACTTTTTTGCTGAAACTGTTCACCGAAATTCAGTGACAGCCACAGAGCTACTTCAGGCGTGTGGTCCCCTCCCCCAACGTCACAGCAGCATTTGATTTTTCTATGCAGGTTGATGGCACTTTGTCTTTAACCTCTGAAGTCACTGTCACGGTATTGTTGTGGTGTGGACGTGCATCACCCGCCCACCCCACCCTGACTGGAGAGTAGCCTGGCCTCTGGCACAGAGTGCCCTGACCGTGGACCCCAGAAGACTGATGGGGGCTGAGGTCAGGGCGCAACCGCTGCCGTAGGCAAAGGGGCACATGGTCCAATTTGAGATACGTTGGAAGTAAAGATAACACCCTTTCCTGGTTGATTAGCTGTGGAGGATGAGAACACGGGAGGCGATGAAAACACCTCCAACATTTAACTTGGGCCTGAACAGTTGGAAGGCCTGGGTCACCGTTTTATGAGCCTGGGAGGAAAATCCAGAGTTCGGTGTGGGATACTGACTCACCTTTTGAAGATTCAAGCGCACAGGCCAGGCAGGCAGTTGACTATGTGATCATGGAGTCAGAAAACGGGTTTCTCCTACAGCTGTATTGCTCACTATGGTAGCCACTGCCCACGCATGGGGAAGTTTACGTCTTAAGGAAGTAAAATGTAAAGTTTTGTTCTTCAGTCACACTAGTATGCCGGTGCTGAATAGCCACACGTGGCCTGTGGGTCCCACATGGAACAAGGCAGTATGTTACCATCATCGCAGAAAGTTCTACTGGAAAGCGCTGGTGCAGTGTTATGGATTTGGGAGTGGTCAGCAAGGTGATTAGATTTAAAACCGCAGGACTAGTGCAATCACCTAGAGAGGTGAGTGTAGAAAAGAGAAGGGTCAAGAGGCTGGAGATCACTTGATATTGAATAGCTAGAAGATAAGGATTCAGCAAAAGAGACTAGAAAGGATGGTCAGTGAGTCAGGAAAAGAACTGAGAAAATGGGCTTCTGGTGGCCAAGAAAGGAGGACGTGATCGACTGTATCCCATGCTGCCGATTGGTTGAGTGAGACAAGGCCGTTCAGCTACTGAACATCACCAGGTGTTCTTGAAGGAGCAGTTTCCGTGGTGTGGTGGGAGGGGCACCGAATAGAGAAGCATCATGGGCTGAGGAGGAAAGATATGGAGACAGATAGAAAAGGCAATGCTTGCAGGAATTTTTGCTGTCAAGGGAAAAAGGTGGGACAAGCGCTGCAGGGATATAGGAAGATATTTTTTTTTTAAGGTGAGAACTACAATAGCGTATTTGGATATGTGTTGGGAATGATCCAATCAATAGGGTAATATAAGGCTCAAGAAAGAGAGGGCAGCTGTAGTAGCAGAGTCCTGGAGCGGACAAGGGAAGGTGGAGTCCGGGGCATGGGGACAACGTGGACTGACAGTCCAGGGCAGGGCATCCTGGGTAACAGGAGAGGGACAGATGCAGGAACGGGCTGGGCATGGGAAGAACATCTAAGTTATTTTATTAACAGCAAGATATTTTGATAGTTTTTTATAGTTGGCTTTACTGGATACCTGGGGACCCTTGACATCTTGGTGGTTCTGTTTGTTCAATAGCAATAGCACTTTGATCTTCATAGTCTAATTTTTTTCTTAAACGTATCCTGCTATTCACAGCAACATTTAAAAATGTTTTACAGTGAACCACATGTCATATGTAGCTTAAGTTCTACAATCTGTCTAAAAGATGAAAGTAGAATGTATTTAAATGCCCTTTGAAGATGTATTAAACCACTGTTAAGTCACCAGAATGTAAGTCCTTAACATTCCCAAAGCAAGAACTAATGTTTAATGTTCTTTGCATTTCCATTAGGGATCACTTTCCCCTATGGCAGTAGAAGTCAAGATCTAGTTTGAATGGGGGAAATGGGTGGTCCAAGGAAGAGGAGATAAGGGAGTGGGTGTCTTTATCACTCTTGCACTTGAACGTGCCTTCCTTGTATGCATGGGTGATGTAACCCCCCTGCATTGCAATGCCACCCTGCCTCGTGAGCCTTAGCTCACTCTAACTCCTATGCAGTTCATTTGTATTTAACTTCATGCATGTGTGATGCATGAACTGCAACATCTTCTGGTCTACAAGATTTGTGCATTCCTACTGCATAAAGAAAATAGTAACCCAAAGTGTTGTGTTGGAGATACTGCTTTAACTGAAGGAGAAATTCAGTTGAGAAATCAGTGATCATCAAGATTCTTCTGAATGTAAAAATTCCCTCAAAAGTCTAGTTTGATTGTGGAAAAATTTCTAAAGTATCTGTTTACTTAACAGCACACAAACACATTTACAGAAACACTGCAAAACTCTGAAATAAGGCCCTGGCTGGAGTGGCTCACTGGATTGAGCACTGGCCTGCTAACCCAAGGGTCGCTGGTTCAATTCCCAGTCAGGACACATGCTTGGGTTGCAGGCCAGGTCCCCAGTAGGGCGTACATGAGAAGCAACAATTACATTGATGTTTCTCTCTCTCTCTTTCTCCCTCCCTACCCATCTCTAAAACAGTATATAAATAAAATCTTTCAAAAAATCTCAAATAAAGATCAAATAAGGAAAGAATGCTATTTATTCAAAATGTATGAAATGTTTACCACAATTAAACACATGGTTCTAAGGACAGTTGTATGCTCTAGCTGCAAAAATAAGAAAAGCAAAGACTGAATAGATCCTCAGAATGAAACAACCCCTAGGACCTCAAATTTAAGAAGGTTTTTGTTGGTGAGAATTTGGCATTTGTCTATTTTAGTGACGCTACCTGTTTGCTGATTTTATTTTTTGTGTTGGATGGGGGTGGGGGAACAAAGACCCATCTGTGAACATGTTGGTTGTTTCTGGGAGGCCCCAAGATTTGTTTTGTTGTGCAACCAGTGACGTCCACGCCATGGAGTGTTTCAAGAAAGCCTTTATATTCCTGGGTACGTTTAGGCTAGCAGCCAAGTGGAAAGCATTTGGTAGCATCCTCAGGAGTGGTCCGGTATGACAGAGGTCCTTGAACAGCCACCACCCCACCGACTTTAATTGAGGTGGGATCCCACCAGACAGAGAAAGAGCCAGAGGTTGCTATTTTTAACTGGAAGTCTGCTTTGCTTCTTAAGCATGGATGCCCAGTTCTGGTGGTAAAGAATTTTCCATAAGACTCTGGGGTAGAGAGACAAGCAGCTATTTATATTCATGCACAGAGCTCGAAAGGAAAGAGGAGAGGGATAGTTAAGAAAGGAGAGACTCCGAAAGGGAGGCAAAGAATGTTTTTCCACACCAGAAACAAGGGCATGTATTGCAGTGTTGAAACACGTTTTGTTGGAGGCCCTAAGTTCTCCCTTAAGCTCATTCACTAGTCAGCTGTGTGGTCTTGTGCAGGGTCTTCTTGGGGTTTGGGTTTGTTTGTTTTTCCCATGAAGATATAGACAGCTACATTATAAAGTGGTTGGAGGAATGTTTTGAGATGATGCTTAGCAAAAATTCAGTAGGGTGCCTGGTGCCTAGACTGTGCCGGGAAATGACTGCTCTCATTTAGTAGTCAGATCTTACAGGGTCAGATTTATCCTAAAGCCTTGCCCTTTTAAGGTGTGTGTGTGTGTGTGTGTGTGTGTGTGTGTGTGTGTGTGTGTGTGTGTAACCAACCCCTACTTCCAATCATATTTCTTTTCATCTTAATCTGCTGCTCACCCTGGTACACAGTGAACAGACACATTCTCTTTAGTTAAGACCTCCAGTTGAAACCTTTTCTTCAATATAATGTAAAAAATATTTAGTTTATTAATGCAGTTCTTTTTTATTACAACGATGCCTCGCATTGAGGGTTGTGGGCTTATGGCAAATGTGAAGTCCTGTTTCCCTGTGCAGCATTTATCTTAATCACAGGCTCGATGACGTAGCAGTGCACGTTTAAAGTGCCATGGGAAAACTTGAAGTCAACAGGCTTGGGAACAATGATGTGAACCAACTTTAAGGTCAAAATGTCATACAAATATCTTTAAAATGTGCAGTGAGCTCTTTGGAATTTCAGGGTCTGACCTGTATCTTGACTTCTGATTTGTGTCTTATGCTGTGCAGGTTCTGATGCAAGGCAAAAATCCGGGGATTGCCTGGAAGTACGCCCTGCCCAGGGCGGTGAACGGGACGCAGCCGGCACCGAAAAGACACGTCCACGCCTGGAGCACAGTGCGGTCCGCGTGCTCCGTCTCCTGCGGCGGAGGTGCGTTCGCTTCTTTACGTCATCCTCCCAGTCTCTCCTTAAAACAGGTTCTTTTGCCCCGGGACTCTTTGAGTTGCATGGTTTGAATAAGCAACAAAAGAACTGTCTTATGGGAACCATCACTCTGAAAAGCAAATACATTGTACTACTCCAGGATTTTCCTATGCAGCAAGGAAGGGATTCTCACAAAACTCATCAGCCACAACCAGGACTCAGTCACACGTCAGAACCTTCTGGGGGAAATACGCAGGGTGCAGCAGAAGTAAGGCCCGCTTGGGTGTGGTTGGTAGGATAATAAGATGGGTGTAACAATTTATAGTTATAACTCGAACATTTCACCTAAAATGTCATATGGTGTACTTAAGTATGGTATTGTTAGGTTACAGAATTACATGCATATGATTTTGTGTTAAAAGATTTTATAATAAAATATGAAGCATCACTTCTGCTGGACCCTGTAAAAAGTCTATTTATAAATATAAGAATATTTACATATATATTCCTACATTTAAAAATTTTTTCAGCCCACAGTTTAGTTTCCACATACCGCGACTTCTCTGGTGCCATAAACCACCCGCTGGGACTTAGAGAAGGCAGGGCCGTGACAAGGGAGGACACACACGATGCAGACTCCAGGCAGCTCTGGTGGGGGGGTACTGCACCCTGCTGTCTGCTCAGGGGTGAGGCCAGCAGACTTCGGAAGGGAGATGGAGTAACTCTGAGAAACAACCCTTGTAAGGAAAAAAATACATTTATCCTATCAGCAAGTAGAGGCTGACATTTTATCGAGATCCCAAAACATCACGCATTTGCTTGTTACGCACATTTTGTCATGCTTGGGAAAAGGAAGAAAAATCTGTAAAGAGGCCCATGAAAAGAAAGCACGAAAGCTGGTCACCCCTTTCCTCGTGTCCAGAGCACCTGGTGACATTGGGTCCCCTAACTCTGTCTGCCCCACTTAGCGAAATGGGGCATCTCGGAACCAGAGACAGAGCCAGGAATAGAGAAAATGAAGAAATTCTTGTGCCTGTAAGGCCTGTTCTTCAGGAATTCATGGTAATTAACAAAATATGAGGAAATACTTTTTAAAAATCTTAATTTAAAAGTAATACAATTTTAGCAATAAACATTTTAAACCCAGCACACACTAAATGAATTACTCAGATTCTGTGGCACACTGAAAAATATACTGTTTTGCCATTCTGCCCCCAAAATAGGTATGCTTTAGATTCAGTCACACCAGACAGGTGTTGTTGTGTTGGCTGTTGTCTTTTTACTTGATAGTCTAAGGGAAGGAGGTCAGTACCTCGATTAGGTAGTCTGGTGTTGCATGTTTTAAAAAATTTGTGCAGCACACTGGTTGGAAATTGTTACTATAGACATATCCTTACACTTTTTTACTGAGTTTTGGAGCCTGAGCAGTTTTTCCCATATCAAGGGTTCTTTCAGATCATTTGCAATAACTCCCTGGTGTTCCAGAGAGAGCACAGGTCATTGGGAAGGAGAGAGATTCAATCATTTTCCATTTACAGGGAATGAATCCAGCCAAAGGGAGGATGCTGGAGAAATGCATTGTGGGATTCCCTCTTGCCGTGATTTAGCAATCTGGTCACATGACTCACAGGTCACATTGTGTCTAAGGCATTTGAGAAGTGAATAAGTTCACTAGAAGTAAACTCTTACCACTAGGGAATCCCTGTGTGGCTTTGTTAAGTGCCTCCTGAAGGCAAGTCCACTTCAACCTAGCTGTAAGAGCAGGGACAACTTTTCACTGCTTCTGAGATTGATTTTAAGGAAAAGTGCCGTGTAAGTATAAACAATTCAGAGAGGAGGCAGAATTCCTATTCGGGGAGCTGACAGATAGCTATTCACAAAATCCATGCCTCTGATGAGAAGTCCTGAAACAAACACTGCAAGCAAGGTGTAGGATGCCGCTGAAACAGAAAATCAGAATCCTAGCTGACAGGTCCGAATACGTACGTATTCAGTGAGCTCCACTCCTCGTGTATGTGTGTGTCATACTCTTATGGAAGTGGAGGATGCTTCGTGGAAAGGCAGAATCTCGGAGTTTCCACGCGTGATTCACTGATGGTTTTTCTTTGAAGAATTCTTTCCACTGGATGTGTGCAGTGTGAGTTAAAGTCGATGGGATGTTCCCTGCATGGCTGCCCTGTTTTCAAAAGCCTGCATGTGTCACTGTGTGGCTCTGAATCCCACAGCAGTCTTGACGATGAAGAAGCTACATGTGAAAATTATTAAGATATAAAAACTATTATCTTGGGGGGTGAATAGGATCAAACGAGTTGCAGATTTTACCAAAAGGAGGCCTTCTCACACAGTAATTCTGTATCTTAAAGTATCAAAACCCAGGTAAATCAGCTAAATTTGGAAACGAAATTGAATTGGTTATCTGTAATTTTTACTTTGTGACTTTTGATGTCTTACTAGGTTACATAAGTGTAAAGGCCATTTGCTTACGAGATCAAAATACTCAAGTCAATTCCTCATTCTGCAATGCAAGAACCAAGCCAGCAACTGAACCCAAAGTATGCAACGCTTTCTCCTGCCCTGCCTAGTAAGTCATCTGGAAATGTCTTTCTGGTTATATTTGTACTTTATATGCCTCTGTTGTTGGTATGAGATCACTAAAGCCCATAAGGTCAATGCTTCCTATCAAAAGTGGTGTTAAGATAGACAGAATCCCCAGAAAGCTAACAAAAGAACGAAGGTAGTAGAGGTTCAAATATATAACTTGAAAAACACAAATTTGCTTTAGACATTCATTTAACTCTGCCTGTGCCAACCTAACCCTGGGGTGTAAAAGTGTTTTTTATTTTTTAACCTTTACATAGACACTCTTCTCTGCGCTAGATCAAATAGATATTTAAATAACACAGATAACTACATTAGTTACATTTCCACATGGTTGTGTGTTTAACTTTTATATAATTGTCTAAGAATTTAAAAATCATAATACTATGCAGACCATGAAACCCCAAATGCAAATTACACAGTAGCAAGATGCAGAATAAAAAGATGGGGTGAGAGGCCAAGTGGTAGTCCACTTCTGCTGGCGGGGACCTATGGGGAGCTCCGTGGGTTGGTTTTTGGGTGCATTTTAGCCACACTATTGTTTGAACAATAATTTTAGTAATCTCCCCAGCCATATGGAGTCTTGTTTTGTGTGATTTATCTCCTGCCAAATGTATTTATATAGCATTGACAGAGTTTTTTCAAAAGCAACATTTGTTCACTAATGTTTCAGACCATCTTAATAAGCAGTGTTTGCTTTGTGGTAAGGCAGTGATATTACACAGTCTTTTTATACACATACATGTATTTTGTCCTTATAAATAGTGCATTTGCCATAATTGTCTGGGGCTGTAGCTATCCACCAATCCCGCATGCCCAACTGTCAGCCCAGTCTCTCTCTTAGAATCTGGAACCCGCTATATCCTAAACACAAGAGAGAGAGAGAAATCTGGGGTGCTTTCATGAATTTTCCCCTTTTGCTAAGAAATCCATGTTCTAAGGAACACATGTCTCCACAACATGACTACCAGACAGTCGTCACTGGCCGTCATGGAGTGATTTCTCCTTTAGGTGGTAGGGGTGTGTGTGTGTAGGAATTGTATGCTTAAACGGCAAGCTGGGATTTTATTTCAAACCTCCTCCTCATCATGGGTTATCTTGGCCAGCCACAGAAAGGGACCCCACTTCCATACACATCCACGAAAAGGGAGACAGCCTTGGTCCTATCCAACCCCTAGGACCTGCCCGGTGACTCTACATAGAAATGGCACCCTGGGCAGTAACAGGTTCACCGGTTATTTAAAAGCAGACGTCCTTCCCCATGACTGGCAAGTCACGATGGCGAAAGGGCAGAGTCTTTTATTGTCTTCCTTCTTCGTCACCCTATTACTTACATCTCATTACTTTCTGTTGGAATCACGGGGACTCTCAGGGATATTCTTCCCTAGGGAGATCCTAGAACAGAAGTTTAGACTCAGACTGCTGGAGCTGGAAGGACAAAGAAATGAATCTGAGCCAGCTCCACTATCTTCCCACGCAGCAGGTGCGCCACGTGGGGGCCTCACTGTAGGCCGGCCCCACTGTAGGCCGGCCCTGAGCCGAGCACTGGGGTGTGGAGTGAGTAGCTTGTAGCTCTTGCCCTCAGTGAACCCACAACCAACTGGAACAGGCGGAAGCGTCAAGAAGTCCTGGAGATGCAGTGAGAGACACGCTGTAAAAAAAAGGTCACATAGAAGATCAGTGAGTGAGAAACAAAGGCTGTAGGGGTCTAGGCTATGAGGAAGGGGGTGGGGAGGGAGGCCAGGTGCGGCTTGAGCCGGAGGCCCAGGAGCGGGACCATGCCTGCCATGCACAAAGTCCACGTGTGTTATGGTTTTCCTGCTACTTTTACAAAGTCACCATCTTAGCCATGTAAAGGAAAGAAACTTGGTAGACCAAAAAAAGCACCATTTTTATAGAAATGTTAAAGCTACTGATTTCATAATGTTTTCTTTATGTCTTATTATAAAATCAAATAATTATACAAACATAGGAAATACTTTACTTGACACAATCCTTAAGTAAGATAATATGGACTATGCAGTGGTTTAGAATACACATAATCCTAAATCCATTTGCTAAATTCTCTGGACTAAAGGTCTTTAATTTCACATGTGGGCTTGTGATTAATTTTTCACAGGCTTATGCAGAAACCAGAAAAACAAAATTATAGCACTAGGGAAGGTGAGAGAAATGCAAAGATATATATAGTAAGAGCATATTTGTGACATTTTTATTCCTTAAAATGATACTGAGAATATTGGTAGATCAAGGTGAGTTTTAGACATTTCTATGGCTCCAGTGTATTAATGATTATGTCTGATAGATCTTTTTAATGCTAGGTCTTCAAATGATAGAGTTTCGATTAATCAAAGTTATTGAAAAGGATTAATAGTTGATTCACCTTCACATAGAATTCAAGGCTCAGGCTGCTGTGGGAAAAGGTGGTCTGGCAATTTTTAAATAAAGAACACAAGGTTATATCTCTAGCTCATCAGTAAATTTTAAGACTAACCAGAGAATTAGGTGGCATAATTGCCTGCTTAGAAATGTCCTCTGTGAGGCCGCCCCTGAATGCACCCCTCTGCCCTACATGCATTACGTGCATGTGCACCCCACCCCACCCCCAGCCGATGGATTGCTCCTCCATGAACCTCACTCACTGTTGTGGTTTATGTTAACTACGATGGTGGCGATCATCAGGAAGCATTGTCTTTATTTGTTCACATATCTGCCTCGTCAGTGTGTTGTAGGCTCCTTAATGGAAAGAACATCGCCTCATTCCTTTTTCCAACCCTGATGCCTAGGAGAGTCCCTGGCACAAAGTTAGGATCCCAAGAAATTTGGCTGAATGACTGGATGGCTCAGATTTCCAAGTGGCACATGTTTCTTCCCCGGCAAGGGCAGGAATGTATTTTCCCCCAGAACTTTGCAGTGACTAGATGTGACACCCTATAGCTGGGCCACATTAGTGAGAACTTCAAAATCTGTAAAAGAAAAATTAGTAGGAATCTCCCTTATTGGTCCTAAAATTGACCTAAGGCTTCCACCAGGTGGTTAATGTTTCGCAGTAACTGCTTTGGAAGGTACGAGCCCAAGTCTGAGCTTCACTGGAGGTAATTTTGCTTTTCCCCGACAGCTGGAAGCCAGGCGAGTGGAGCGTGTGCAGCCGGCCGTGTGCAGGGGGCCAGCAGAGCCGGAAGATCCAGTGTGTCCAGAAGCAGCCCTTCCAGAAGGAGGCGGCCGTGCTGCACTCCCTCTGCCCGGTGAGCACACCCACCCAAGTGCAAGCCTGCAACAGCCACGCCTGCCCCCCGGAGTGGACCTCCGGGCCCTGGTCCCAGGTAACTGCGAGTTGTGGGTCTTGTTCCTCGTGGAAAATGATGGCAACAAAGATACAGGTGGCGTCTCTGCTTCCCAGGAGGCCATCAGCTGGTTTCACACCTGCCTTCCTGAGGGCCACACTGAGTTCATGTGAGAAATGTTGTCATTAACATTTTCAGTGATTCTCACACAACCTGCTGTTTGGGAATCTTTAGAAGTCCAGAAATTAGAGCCGTGTGGGGGCCCTGTAGGCTGGACTAGTAGCCCAGTGAGACAGCGTCCGAGTGCCAGAGGATTGGCCGGTGGAACAGGCAACTGAATTCGCCAAAACAAATGGAAAAGACAAATACAAAGGGTGAGGCATAAAAAGGAGATTTAACTGTTGCTTCGATGAGAGGAGGGGTTTGAAAGAATACAGAGAGGAGTTGGGCCTAAAGCTTGCTTTTGTCACCAACTCCCAGTGAAATGTAAAGTTATAAAGTTGGAAGAAGCATAGAACTACCTGTCACTCAGAGGTTCTCAAACAAGGGGGTACGTTTGCCCCCAGGGGGCATTCGGCAATGCCCGGAGACATGTTTGATTGTCACAGTGAGTGGGGGATGGGTACCACTGGTGAGGGAAACATCCTGCAGTAGACTGGACCGCTCCCCAGGATAAGAGTTACCTGGTCCAAATGGTGCTGAGGGTGAGAACTCTGCTCTGTAACAGCCCAGCCTCTGCTAAACTGCAGATGGGGAGACAATCTGGGGGAATAATACAATTTCAGGGGTTGTATGGCCTGAACCGTGAAGCCAGTGGCAGCCCGGGCCCCATTTCCGCCCTGCCCCCTCCAGCGCGCCTGCTGTCCGGTTGGTTCAGTTTAACAGTGCTCTGCTGTGTCCCGATCAGAGGTCAGAACAAGGTTCTGCTTGTCTTTTTTAATGACAGAACATTATGAAAAATGTTTTTTAATGTTACGAGTCTATCTGTTGGGGGAGTAAGCAGCTGGGAGTGGGGAGAAACATCTCCGAGCATACTTAGGTGTCCTTTAAAGTGAGGGCGTGTGTTCGCTTACCGCAGACGGGCAAACTCTGAGTCCTGTGTGGCGTTGAGTCGGGTCTCTGTCTGCAACTGGGAGTTGTAAATTACCGGAGGAGAATTCAGAGGGCTATTCTAGCCCAGTGCGCACGGCGGGTGTGGAGAGAGGACATGGGGCGTGCGGAGTGTCAGACAGGGACGTCAGCGTGGAAAGGAGCCTTACTGCATGGCGTTTACCCTGAATTTCACATGGAAATATTTTGAGAGTATTTTTAAAATTTCCTTTTTACTACTAAAAGCAAATATGCCTGAGAACCTGAAAATCATTCGAAATTAACATGCCAACGGCATTTTTTTTTTCCCCAATCTCAAGTGTTCCAAGACCTGCGGGCGAGGCGTGCGGAAACGCGCGGTGCTGTGCAGAAGCGCCTCCGCAGCGGAGGGCCTGCCGGACAGCCTGTGCGCAGGCGCCCCCAGGCCGGAGTCGCAGGAGGGCTGTGTCCTGGGCCGGTGCCCGAAGAACAGCCGGCTGCAGTGGGCCGCCTCCTCGTGGAGTGAGGTACGGGCCCGATGTACTGCTGGGTGCGGTGGCCTTGCTGCCGCTGTTCTAGCCCAGCTTAGGCACTTCCACCAGATGCTCGGAGCTTCTTTCCATTCAGCACACGTGTGCCAGGCACCTTCTGGTCAGTACTTCTTCATCAAGTATTGGTGAAGCAGCCATCACCCTGATTGGGCGGTGGAGGCGCAGAAACACGGGTCGGAGTGCGGAGTGCCGTGATGGGGTTGGTCACTCCACGGGGCAGCCGAGGTCCACCCAGCCCGAGATCAGGAGGAATCCTTGGCAGAAGAGGCTTTCCAGGGAGTGCGGGCCTGAAGGATGAGCAGGAATGGGGCAGAGGAGAGGCTGGGGAGAGCCTGTTCCAGTCCGAGGGTGAACACAGCACAGGGGACACGAGGGAACACACTCAGTGAGGAGGCAACAGGGGTGCACCGGGGCTGCCAAGGTCACCAGGGACAGAGCGGGAGGCCTCAGGTAACGGCCTAGAAATGTGTCCTGTAGACATGAGGAGCCAATTGACGTGCAAGTGAAGGAGTGGGACAGGCAGGTTTTCAGGTCGGAGAGAAGGGGAGCGGATGCGGAACAGGCAGAGGCGGGAGAGGCGCCTGCACAGCTGTCACCGTACTCTGGACTGAAGATGCAAGTGTGTCGGGGTGGAGAGAAGCGTCACCTTTGAGCGTTCCCAGAAAGGCCCCTTGGGACCTTCGGGAATTGTGTGAGCGAGGCTTGAAGATGCCTCCTGGGTTCTGATGTGGGAAACAGGAGAGAGGCAGCCGAGCTGGAAGTGGACTCTGGTAACCAGGGAGGCAAGGTCTCTGCTCTTAAGGAGTTCAGGGTCTGCTGAGGAAGACAGGTGGAGAAGGAGAAAAGGCCAACAGGGGGATGGGGAGGTACGGGGGGCGGGGTTTGTGTGTCAACAGCTGCGGCCCTTTCCATCAGCGCCCTTGCTCTCTGTCTAATGGTCCGTCTAGAGAATCGTGTGCATCTCTCTCAGTCCCACTCGCTTTCTCTAAGACATTAAAACCCTAGTGGCGGAATGCCTGGGCTTGGCCCAGACTTCCCATTTGAAAGCAGCTTCCAGGGTGCACTGTGGGTGTGCCCTGGGGCTCGCTGCTCACAGGGGCAGCTAAGCCTCACTTTCCTCCTCTGCACAAAGGAGCCAGCAGCGCTCACAGCTGCCACAGAGCTGCTGGGAGTAGGAAGCTCGGTCATCTTTTGTTGCTTATGGTCATTGCACCAATGCCGGTTCTTACTCCCTCAGCTCATCAAGGCCCTACACTTTATCCCATAATGATGTTTCAAACCCTTGGAACAAAAACCAGTTTTCTCATACTGATTTCCTCGGTCTCCATCCCCGCCCCAACTCTTTTTCTTGCCATAAGGTCAGGTTATATCTCAGCCAGCAGAGAGGTGGGGGGAAACTAGGGTTGTTCTTCCCACCCCAGAGCCTCTAACTCTCACCTGTGTGCCCCGCCTCACCGGCACAGATGCCCAACTTCTTGGGGCTCAGGCGGAGCTGGGCAGCCAAACAAATGCCCCACAGAGCCCCGATCCCATGCTCTGCCGCCTCATCTTGGTCCGGACTTTGCTCCCTCGAGTCCACAGGGGCAGACAGTGTCTCATTCTGGTTTTTGGTGCTGGTGAGCTCTGCGACGCTGGTTGTCTCACCTGTAGTGTGAGGGACCTGGTGCCATAGTTGTAGGGTCCTTGCGTGTGGTGGACCTGCCATCGTCCACTCCCTCTAGTTCCACGCAGACGGTACGTCCTCAGGTTGGAACACATCTGCTCTGCACACTCACGCCTCCTTTTTTGGCTCCTAGTGTTCCACGACCTGTGGTCTGGGCGTGAGGAAGAGGGAGATGAAGTGCAGCGAGAAGACCTTCCAGGGAAAGCTGATAACTTTCCCAGAGCGAAGGTGCCGCAACATTAAGAAGCCAAACCTGGACTTGGAGGAAACCTGCAACCGAGGGGCCTGTCCGGCTCGTTCGGGGTACAGTGTGGCAGCTGGATGGTACTCATCGCCATGGCAACAGGCAAGTACACACACATTTATGAGATTTCTATTTAAGTGAGATTCAAAAGGAGGCAGTCGCCATGGGCTGCTGTTAGAGACCTGGCCACAGGTACAAAACAAAGGCCTTACGTTCTTTGGCCCACCCACCACCTGTGTGGCCTGAAAGGTTACAGGATCTGTGAGCCTCAGTTTTCACATCTAAAGCAGTTGGAAGATACCTTGCAAGGTTTTTTTTGATGAATAAATAAGATAATATAAAGCACTCAGTACCCGGTTTGTCACATAGTGCTAATGTTCGCATTTGCCGCTGCTATTAAATCCACTGCTAGAGTTGGCTGCCTTCTAAAAGTCACAGTCTTAACTCATTTGGTTCTTATGTTTCCAAATAATATAATAATAGCTAGCCAACATTTGTCAAGCCATTGCTATACACTATGCTAAATGCTTTACATGCATTTGCTGTTCTCTCACTTCATCCTTTTAAAAGTCTTATTAGTGGATATTCTTGTCCCTATTTTGTAGCTGAGGCAGGAAAATCTCAGAGTTAGGCAGTTCAGCCAAGGACCCCCAGCTTTTTCATCTCATTATACATTCGTGCCACCCTTTTTCTCAGAAGGCTTAGGTAAAATGTTGGTCACATTGGTTTGGTTCTTATTGGCAGGAGTATGTGATGCTGTCTGAGAGAACAGCGTGTCCTCGGGAATCCAAAGCTGTCTTTTGGTGCTCGCAGCATTCCAGCCAACAGCGTGCACAGCTGTGCAAAGAACTCGCTGGCTCGGGATGCTGCCCACAACTCCCCGTGAAGTATAGGGGTGGGCGAGGTCCCGTTTGTCTGTATGTGCATGAATCTGTGTTTATATACACACTTTCCTGCATAGATATGCACACGTTTGTATGTGTATGGATTGTAAGTACACAGGTATGCATGCGGTTGACCCTGGGACAACATGGCTTTGAATTGTACAGGCCCACTTACACATGGATCTTTTCAATAGTTACCAGAAGTGCATTTTCTCTTCCTTATGATTTTCTTCATAACATTTTTCTCTGGCTGACTTTATCATAAGAATACAGTGTGTGTGTGTGTGTGTATATATATATATATATATATATATATATATATATATATATATATATATATATATATATATATGTGTGTGTGTGTGTGTGTATGTATATAACACAAAGTATGTGTTAATAGACTATGTTATCAATAAAGGTTCTAGTCAACAGTTGGCTATTAGTAGTTAAGCTTTGCAGGGAGTCAAAATTACACATGGATTTTCAACTGCACGGAGTGTCGATACCCCAAACCCATGCTGTTCCAGAGTCAGCTGTGTGTGTGTGTGAGAGAGAGAGAGTCTGGGAAGTGGCACACAGAGAAGAAATCAGCATGGCATTCTCTCTCCAGATTGGCACTGCACCTGTGTCCCAGGTGCACTACCTACAGCTATGGATTGCTTTTAAAAATTTTTATTATTTTACTCATTTAACAGATTTGGATTTTTATATGATTATGTAGATCAGTAAAGCATCGCCAGCATGCCAAATCTGTGTCCCTGGCCCATAAAATGTAAATGGTAATAAAATAAAAATGATTATATAGTGAAATTTAAAAAGCAAAATAAAAGCTCATCAATTTAAAGGGCTTTTTCTCTGACAATATTTTCTTATTTATCCTTTTGTTCAGACACACATGAAAATGTAAGAACATTGACAGCCCTTGCTAGTCATTTATTTTTCAGGAAAACACTACCTGGACAGTAGTAATGCGGACTGCTGGGAAGCAGCGTATCCACCATGCCAACCAGGAACTCGGCTGGGCACCGAGGGCTTGGTTCCAGAGCCCCTTGAGTATCGTTTCTTTTGCTGTCCTCACTTTGAACTATCCCCTCCACCACCGCATCTGCAGAGATTATTTGGAATTCTTTACATACTGTGATTAATTGCCTAGATGTGTCTGTATTTGTTTCTGCATTCTTAGGGCAGCTTCTGTATTTCTGGAAGCTCTCTTCTCTCTGAGTCACTTAACAGGGAGAGACACACTCTTGGGTGAGCTGGCATTAGCCTAAGACCCTTCTAATCAGGCCAAATGGCTCCCACATGTTAGAGGAGACTGTAGACAGTAAGCACACGTACCTGGCTCTGGATGGTTCGTTTTATCAACGGGCATCCTGGTAATGCCGTAAAGCATGGAGATCCTCTGACAGCACTGACCCTCAAAGGATACCATCCAGCTGAGTATTTCTGACTCCCTCCTCTTCTCCCTCTTCTGCAGTGCACAGTGACCTGTGGAGGAGGGGTCCAGACCCGATCCGTCCACTGTGTGCAGCAGGGCCGGCCTTCCGCTGGTTGTCTGCTCCGACAGAAACCTCCAGTGATGCGAGCCTGTAACACTAACTTTTGCCCAGCTCCTGAAAAGAGAGGTAAGGAGGACCCCACACTCCATCAATTTTACTAGTCTTCAGAGAATGTTTCAAAAACTCCTCCCGTTTGCTTGTGCAGGTTGTGTGTTCCACACCTCTAGGGGGCGCCCTTCACATCCAGGTCTACGGGAACAGTGCTCCTTGCAGGTGTATGAGGCACAAATCCAGGCAGTTCCTGCTCAGAATGATCTCATATGCAGGGAGATTTAATTATATGATAAGGCTTTTTAGTCATCAATTCTTACTTCGAAAGGGAGAAATGGTAATCTTGTGAGTCCATTTTTCTAAACTAAACTTTGACTGAACACGCACATGGAAAAGTAAGCACTGTGTGCCAGAGATAGAACTAATCAGTGGGAATGCCAGCATGAACAGGAATTGCCCTCAAGGAGCTCACATATTGAAAGGATAGATTAATTACAGACAATTAGAATGAATATGTATTATCCTAGGACTACAACTTAAATGTTCTCTTAGTTCAAAGGCAGTGCAGTGAGTGCTGATGGGAAAATGGGAAATTCAGTTATCCAAATAGACTACACCACTCCTCACGAGTGCAACCTCTTTCGAAGTAATCGGACAGCATGACATATTTTTTCAGCCTAATAGGATTTCCTTGGGCTAAAGAATCATGTATCTGCTGAGTTGTCTTTTTCTTTAATCACAGCTTTTCCAAGACTGTCCAGTCTTTTAGCCTACGCTGTCCAATTTGTGGTGAATCAGATTCAGGACTCTGACTCAATTCCCATCTCTCTCTCTCCATTGTTGTTTACCTACTTCTTCTACAGCCTTTGCTCCAGGCTCTGGGCATCACTGTCCCTTCCTCTGCTCTGCCCTGTCTTCTCTGAGGCTAGCACAAGACCAGAGGGCTAGTAACACGCAGTGGCCCCCAGCCAGGCCACATCTAGGCAATGCTGGAATTCTACAAACCTGCGGCTTTTCTCAGCAGAAAGCTAAGGAGTGGGAGTGGGGGAATATACACATTTTGGGCAAGTGGTCATGTTTTCCTAGACCATCTCCTCCTTTCTTCACTGTCAGTGATTTCAAATTTCCACCGTTTAGTCAGATGGCTCCAGACGCAATCACACATACAAAGACTGCAGGAATCTGGTCAGCCAATGCCAGAGCTACCTTCTACTCTGAGTGGCTGGGAGCTAATGGTGAATTTGGGGTAGAGGCATTACATGAACTGGCTTAAGGATCACGGGGGTCACTATGAGGTGGGATGTGTGTGTTAAAGGGAATTTTAGGCAGAGGAAGGAAGGCTTGAAGAACTAACCTCAGGCAGCTCTGAATCATAGAAAGGGAGGCTACCATCAAGAGCAGCAGGAGAGCTGAGAGTTTTGCGTGCTGTGACCAAAGGCACCGTGGAGAGCCACTGAAGGACAAACTCAGAAGGCAGTTGAGTAGATGCCCATGGCAATGTGGGCTTTGGGGAGAGTTGAAGATAAAGGCAACTCAAGGCTGGCACAGAGGAGGGGAGAACCATCCCAGCTGTGAATGAGAATAAGCACATAGCGGGTAGACCCTAAATGTTAAATAAAAAAATCCTTGAGAATCCAGTACAATGACTGGGCCCTAACTCCTTAAACATGTACTATGTTTACATAAAGAACATCTTACTTACAATTTCATGTGCATTCTGTGTCTCACAAGGCCCTTCTGGGTCACAGTCCCTGATGTCCAGTGTCCTACTTCTGATCCATAATCTCAGCTGCTGTCCTACTTAAAGAAGTTAGAAAGGACTGGTGTTGACGTACATTCACTTAGTTGCAAATTGGCTATGAGATTTACTTAAAACTACACAGTGCTGCAGCTGGGTCTCTAATAAAGGTGTCACAACTCCCAGTACATCGGGCTTCTTGTTCCCCAGAGTAATCTGCACAGACCAGCAGCAGCATCCGCTGTGTGCTTGTTAGAAGCACAGAACCCTAGTGCTCACCAGAGACCTTCTGAACCAGAACCCGTGGTTTCACAAGATCCTCCAGTGCTTTTAAATGTGCTGGTCTAGGTACTTCCCTTGGGTGCAAAATGGTACCTCCCAGGGTATTTGGGGAGGATCAGATAAGCTCTAGCTAGAGATGACTTTTTGTCTTAACATCCACTTTTCCTCTACCTGTTTAACTTTGGCTAAGGGTCATAGTCCCTTTCGATGTCTGAATGCTGCTTTCCCCTTCTTCCTGCCAAAGTCCTAATGGGGAAGAAGAAAAACCACTCAGAAGTTACAGGCAGGTGGATGCCAGGCCTTTGAGCTGCAGGGTTGTGCCTTCAGAAAAGAGCCTGAGCCTTTTCCTGACATGCTGAACCTGCTATCTCATTTCAGAGGATCCAGCCTGTGTAGATTTCTTTGGCTGGTGTCATCTGGTTCCTCAACACGGTGTCTGCAACCACAAATTTTATGGCAAGCAGTGCTGTAAGTCATGCACGAGGAAAAGCTGACCCCAGCCCACCCCCTGCTGCCCCTCCGGTGCCTGAGGGCCAGGGGCTCACCTTCCAGATCCGTGGTGGCTGAGGGCCGCAGCAGCTCACCAGTGGTCTACGGCGTGGAGGGGCCCACTCCGAAGAACAGGTGGGCTTCTTTTCCAGTTCCCCCGAGCACATGGTACTCTGAAGCACTTGAAAACGGGAAGCGACGACAAATCCGACAGAGAAACAAAAATGAAAACGATGTGGATTTGCACTGTGTGCATGGAAGGAGTGAGGAGTCACACTGAGATAGGTCAACTTTGAGTTTGGTCAAAGTGAGAATCCGGCCAACTTTGGACACATCCTCTTTGGCATCTGAAAGGGTTCCGTGGCAAAGACATCAGTTTTGGAAAGGCCCTTTATGACTTCAGGTCGTAGGCTGAGAGTTGGAGGATTGGACACAGACGGAACGTTTACTTGGAGCTCACGGTTTGGCTGGAGCTGTGGACATGCCAGGCCAGGAGCTGGCCAGGAAGCCCACTGGTGCTCACGGTGGTGCTTGCTGCTGGACGGGCAGGCATCACGTTATGTTTATTTAGTGTGAGTGTGTTTTTATTATTTTGTTTAAAGTATATTCTGCTTATAGAGAGTCTCCAAGACTAAAATTCACAACTTGAAAAGGAATATTCTAAAAACATGGCAACATGGACTATTTAAGATTGCCGTTTCATTGAAATTCACACTCTGGGGATAAAAAACAAAAGCTCATAAGAAGGGTAAATATTAATGCCCCACACATTATATCAACCTCGTAACTTTTGGTGCTAGACAGGATCCTCTAGTCTGTTCTTTGGGAATCAGAATTGGTGAAATGTTTATTTCTGGTAAAAATCTAGGAGGGGTTAAATAGCAGTGTGCTGAAAGAGAGGAGGCCATTATTTGTAATGCTCCCTACTTATTATCATAGCTGCTTGGAAAATTAAAGGCCACTTGTGGGTTTTCTTCCTACCAACTGACATGTTTAAATTTGCCCTAGGATTTCGTTTACAAGAAAAAAGTCATCATGGCAAGAGCGAAGTCCATCTGTCTTCTTGCTACATTAATATTAATAAATCATAATATGGCAAAACTGTTCAATGAATAAGTGTATTTTCCAATCTTTCAGGTGATATTTTCAGTCTTCAAAGGCCAGCTGTCGGTTGGCACTAATGAGCTTAAAATTGTTCTCAATTGCAAAAACACCACACTAATTTGCCAAAACCAAAGTAACTTACAAGACGGAGTCCTCCTGTAATTTTTTGAGCTGTGGTTATAAAGGACGTATTTATATAATTCTACCCTAGTCCTCAATTTTTTGATGAATGTAACCCAGTTTTACTGCTTTAAAAAATTTCGATTCAAACAAGGGTTTGCCAGCTCAGCACAACCAACTGGACAGCGGTCCGTGGAACTCGGGGCCTCCCTGGTTCCCACTCTCACTGAACCATGCGCTCTCAAACCTCAGAGATATTGTCTCAGCTCTCTTGGCCTAGAACAGTGGTCATTTTATCATCAGAAAAAAGATGTATACATCACCACCCTTGATGAATTACAAGTTATTTCTTTATATAATTATCATTTTATTATTTTATGGAGAAATTAATTTATTAATAGCCTATTGTTATGTGTTCTCACTTGCTTCTCTGATATTAATTCTGAAGAAAAGTGTTGAATAAAACCATGGGTTATGGAGAAAAGTCAAAATATATGTATAATATTTAATTATTTTATAAGTTTTATAATAAAGTGTTCTGTTTCTTTATCTCTTAAACTTGTTAAGTTCTTGAATAAATTAGTGAGAAGTCAGTTATTTCCAAGGTGATTTAACTGTATAAATGATTAATTTTTCAGTGAAAAGTTGAGAAATTTTTAGGGGGGAGAGAGATTAATGAATTTTCCTGTTTGTGTATGATAAAAACTATCAAGCCTTGAGATGAAATAGATGACATATTTACTGTCTTATAAGGATACTAAATTATTTTTTTCTACTCTAACGATCGTGTAAACATTTATGGAAATCATCCAAGTTAGTTAGATAAACCTACCATAAATGTAGCTGGTTTTCATTCTAGTAAAATTGTTTTTGCAAAGAGAAAGAGAGAAGGGAGGAAGAAGGAAGGAAAAAACAACCCTAAATAACAGACCAGAAATAAACCCATGCCTAATATGTTCCATTAATCCACAACACAGGAGGACTCATTATATAAAGACAGTCTCTTCAGTAGTGTTGGGGAAACTGGACAGATATGGGGAAAAAAAAATTAAATGACCACTTTCTTACACCATATACAAAAATAAACTCTAAAGACTGAAATGTAAACCCCAAACCATAAAGCGCCTAGAAGACAAAATAGGGAGTAAACTCTTTGACATCACTCTTAGTAATGTTTTTTGGCTATGTCATAGCAAGCAAAGAAACATCAAACTGAAAAGGTTTTGCACAATGAAGGAAACCAACAAAATAAAAAGACGACCTACTAAATGGGAGTAGATACTTCTGGGAAGGGGTTAATATCCAAAATATATATATATTTAAAAAAAACACAATTTAACACCAGAAAAAAAAACCCAAACCATGATTAAAATATGGGCAGAGGACCTGCATAGACACTCCTCCAAAGAGGATGCACAGATGTCCCCTAGACACATGAAAAGATGCTCAACATCACAAGTCATCCGAGAAATGCAAATTAACACCACAATGCAGTGTCACTTTATACCAGTCAGAATGGCTGTCATCAATAAATCAGTGAACAAGTGCTGGTGAGGATGTGGAGTGAAGAGAATTCCCGTGCACTGTTGGTGGGATTACAAACTGGTGTGGCCACTGTGAAAAACAATATGGAGGTTCCTCAAAAATTAAAAATAGAACTGGCATACTGACCCAGCAATTCCACTCCTGGTTGTTTATCTGAAGAAATCGAAAGCTCCAACTTGAAAAGATATGTGCACCCACCCATTCATTGCAGCACTGTTCGCAGTAGCCAAGATAGGGAAGCTACCTAACTGTCCAACGATAGATGAATGGATAAAGAAGGGGCACAATGGAATATTACTCAGCCATAAAAAAAAATGAAGTCTTAGCCCTGGCTGGCGTAGCTCAGTGGATTGAGCATGGGCTTCGAACCAAAGTGTCGCAGGTTCAATTCCCAGCCAGGGCACATGCCTGGGTTGCAAGCCATGACCCCCAGCAACTGCACATTGATGTTTCTCTATCTCCTTCCCTTCCCTCTCTAAAAATAAATAAATAAAATCTTAAAAAAAAATTAAAAAATGAAGTCTTAACATTTGGGACAGCATGGATGGATCTAGGGGGTATTATGCTAAGTGAAATAAGTCAGACAGAGGAAGACAAATACCGTATGATTTCACTTATATGTGGAATCTAAAAAAACAAAATGAACAAACAAAGCAGAAAAACTCATAGATCCAGAGAACAAACTGATAGTTGCCAGACAGAAGGGAAGTTTGGAGAGTGGGTAAAAATGGTGCAGACGTTTAGTAGTATACATTGGCAGTTAAACAGTCCCAGGGATGTGAAGCACAGCGTAGGGAATACGGTCAATAATGTCATAATAACCATGTGTGGTGCCAGATGGGTGCCAGACTGATGGGGGTAATGACTTAATAAATTACATAAATGTCTAATCACTGTGTTGTACACTTGAAGCTGAATCACTGTTGTATGTCAACTGTAACTGAAAAACAAAAAATATTTTTAAAAGATGAAAGAATAGAAAACCGGAAAGCATAAAGAAATTGCATGTGTTCCCTTGGCTGGTCTTCCTCAGACCAGAGTCTAAGGCACAGGTGGCAAACACAAGGCCCGCGGGCCGAGTCCAGCCCTCCACGTTGTTTTATCCGGCCAGGCACCTTGTTTCTACTGGGGGGCAGCACTGAGCTCTCACTGAACTGTTAAGGAGTAGTTACATGTATACAGTCCTCAAATTACATTCGGCCCTTTGAAGGCAACCGAGAGGCTGATGTGGCCCCCCGTGAAAATGAGTTCCATGCTCCTGGCCTGAGGGAAAGGTGATGAGCTGTAATTGGAGATAAAGCCCAGAGCTGGGCCATCAACCCCAAAAGAAACAATCTTCAAAAAAAAAAATCAAAGAAGTAGAGCTTCATTTACGAATTCTAATTCTAAAGGTGGGCCCTGCCCCACTTTAGCTGCAGTGAATTTATTTACCAGAATGTAGTATTTCACAGTCCCCTACCTATAATTTTCTAAAATTTGCACATAATCGCGCCATTCTGGATCATTCTGGGCCATGATTACAAATTTTATATACAATCCTTTTTAGTGACTACGACATCAAGTCCTTGTGTAATCATCCATTTCTTTTCCTACAAAACATTCAAATTCTTTTAAAAAACTAAAAAAGCAATTTTTCTCAGGTTTTTCAAATTTTCAGTCATCAGATCAACAGAGAATAAAAACTATCCAGGCAAAGTGAATCCAATTGACCCGAATAAAAAATATTTTTCCCTGAATATATGATTACATATATATAATATGTAAATCATGTATGCCTATATAATTATAAAATATATTTAAGAGGATTTTATATGAATTATTGCTAATTGGAAAACATAATAAAAAGAAATTCAGTTAAAGATGAAAAATGGTATAAATGGCAGAAAATGTCTTTATACAATTAGGTAATAGAATATTATTAATAAAAGTAACCATACGCTAGCACTTACGGGGTACCAAGCACTGTGCTAATAAGCTCTTTACGTGTTACCTCATTGCATCCTCACAAAAGCCTGCTTAGGAAGTCAGTGGAATCTTCCCCTTGCAGATGAGGACTCTGGGTTCAGACATTTGGCCCAGATGCACATGGCCATCCAGTGATGGGTCAGGGTTCCAACTCAGGTCTGTTGGACTCAAACGGCTGGCACTCTCGTCACTGTGCCACATTGCCCTGGGAGAGATGAAATAAAAAGGACCTGTAGTCCTCAGAACTCCATGCGTGTGAAGAGGATCAATAACCAGATGGTCATTGGTGATGAATTATGGGCGGAGCTGGGACGGCCTCAGATGGGGAATTGGGAATGGGAGG